CCCCGCGCGCGGCGCAGTTGCACCTTACGAATCGAACAAATGGGTCTGAGCGGTCCATGGTGCAAGTCTTGAAGTTGGCCTTCGTGCATGTCCGCGATACGACGTCGGAATTTCGCGCTTGCTCGGTTGGCTGGTTTCACGACCCAGACATCTACACCGTAGAAACGAAGATTGCCAATATTCGATGCCACCTGCGATTTACAACCGTTGATAGCGGTTGGAATCGAGGAAGAGGCAAGCCCTTGCCGTCGCACAGACGGCCAATCATGTTATCGATCGACTGATAATATGCATGGTAGCCTAGTGCCAGAGCTGTCGAATGCATATGTGGCATTTGCCACCACGATCGTCGCTATGTGGATCCGGATATGGCAACATGCAGCGGGCGTGCAGACGTTAGTGAGCTTATCGACCCTGCGAGCATTCGAATCATTGTCGTAAGAGCTTTGCCGGCCGGCCGATGGGACTCTTTGTACTTTACTCCAGTCACTGTCACAGTCACGGAAATCGACAAGGCCGCCTCGATCGGATCATGTCTGGTCACTCGCTCAACCGAGACCCAAATGTTTGTTCCTTGTCATCTGGTGCTTCGCTTGATTAAATGCATGACAGCCGCGCCGCAATGGCAGCCAGCGTTTCCTGTAGTGAAAATTGCTATATATACAGTCCACTGTAACCACACTCGACGTCGCATCTTTTGCCAAATACTCGTCGTACATTACGCGTTGCATTCTACCTCACTTCTCAACGACCGCAATCGTCTGAGGCCGTCTACCAACCTAGCCTTCCTATGTACAGTGTTCACAGGCCTTTGCACTATCACGCCCGGTTCATTCAGAAGCACGGCCGGTTGCCCCTGTCTATCCTCGGCCAGTCTCAGGCCGTAGTCTAAGCACAACACGCTGGGAGCCACCTCTCCCTCGGTAGAAAGGACCGAGGAAAGGGCGGCCAGCGGCCAGGCCTGGCCCTTCATGCTGGCTTTGTTGAGGACTTGAAGAGCACGGGAACGCACCTGTGGAAAACACAGGAAGCCTTTCAGACACGAAGTAAGTCATACGCAGGGGATTATACCAAAGAATAGTATAGGCCAAGCTGGAAACCAAGTAGAAAAGACGCAAAGGTGTAAGCGGGCCAACTACTGAGCGAAAGCATGCGCGAAAGTAACTATACGCACAGTGAATCTTATGCGCAGCGAAGCACTCGAAAGGCAGCTGAGCGTTTGCCTTTCGAAGCAGCTCCTCGAAGCTTGTCGCTCTGAATGACGCGATGCACCCATCGAAGCAACAGCACACGTTGCCAGACTCGAGCTTGCTCGGTGGTCGCGCAAATTAAGCATCATCACAGCAAGTGTCGTCGACGCAGATTCTGGACGTCTTCCCGAAAGCGCTCTGAGAGTCGAATTTGACGGGCAAGCTAATGGTAAAAGCGCTGCGATAGGCGGAGTGAACCCTCAACAGTCGGTGCTAACGCAGTTGTGTTTTCACACTTGATTTGCCACTCTTTTCGGCCCTGGCTTAGGAGCATTCAAGGAAGAATCGAGAAAAACAGACAGAAAGAAAATAGGAGTGAAAGCCAAGCAACAGAGCTAAAAAGTCAGAAGGAAAGACGCAAGCAAGCGACCCGACAGACAGAAGTAAACTACCGAAAGGAGAAGGCCAAAAAAGAAGGAACAACAAATTGAAACAAGTCGAGCATTCGAGAACGACGCTCTTTCGCTAAGTCACCTGCGGAAACGCCCCGTGAAGGATGCAGGTCTGGAGATAAGAGGCCCCGGCGGCCAGCCTGAAGAAGCGGACGTAGTCCCCTGCGCGCGCACAGCAGAAGGCGCGCAGAGTGAAGCATACCTCGCACGATTGGAGCACCGCCGGACGGAGACGCATCAGCAGGGGGGTCACGGCGGCAGCGTCCACCTGCGCGGAATCCGTTTCTCAAGGTTTGAACGCAACGGAAATAGAACGACCAGATCACCACCAGACGGAGGCGCATGAGTGAGGGGGTCACGGCGGCAGCGCCCATTTGCAGCGGAATTTCGTTTCTCAAAAACGGAAGACAAACGCAAATAAAGGGAAGCGCACTTCGGGCGTCCGGAGCACCAGCGGACGGAGGCCCATCAGCAGGGGGGTAAACGCTGCGGAGTTTATTTGCAGTTTGTCAAGCACGGAAGTCAACGGAATTCGAGCGCGGTTTCGACTTACGAGAGTTTGCTCTTCTTGGAAGGGTCTCAGAGTCGTCCCCAAAGCAGAAAAACTGCTTTGAGCCGAGGGTTCTAAAAGTATTTTTCCGTTACCTAGATTCAATCTGTTTCAAGTGGTATAACTCGTTTGCCACATTTCGTGGTAAGCCGCTGAGGGAAAACAACATGAAACCGAGGACAAAGGGGAAAAGAAGCAAGGAAACATACGAAAGACGGTGAGGTACAAGCAACAAAAGACCGTGCGCTTTTTCAAAAATCGGCCTCACCCGTCCGTCACTTTTCGCCGTCTGCATCAAAATATAGTACGCCCGGAACTCGCCCTCCGTCCGGAACTCCACCCCCCCTTTTCGGTGCAGATCGTCGTACATCTGAAACAGCCCGGCCAGCGTCTTCGACAGCTGTTCCAGATTCATATGCGGCTCGAACCGCTCCTCTTCCGGGGGGGAAGCGCGGACTTGGGGGCCCGAGGATTCGCATAACTCGTAGTGGGAGAGAATGTGGAATCGCGCCATTTGCTCGTGGAGGCGCACTGCGGCAGGAGAGACGCAGTGCTGGAGAGTGAGGTCCTGCGAGGAGAGTTGTTTTCCAGAAGATGGATCAATCGTTTCTAGAGGATAAAAAATAGCAGACTAAAGAACTCTCTCCCTTAATTTCGCCGAGGGGAATTGGGTTTTGTAGGCGCAATGCGTTTGGGGAGGCACACTGCGGTCTGAGAGAGGGAAGTGCTAACATGCAAGTGAGGTCCTGCGAGGACAAACAAGAGCGAGGAATGACGTCTATGCTAGAGGGGGGGGAGAGATATTCAATCAATTCAAGAGGGATTGCCTCCCCTGCCGGATGGCCCAGAGGTACTTCCGAAAAACAGCTTGCACAACTGTGAAAATTACATACAGAAACTAGGCTACCAAACGACGAGACGAGCTAACACTCAATCGACAGAACAAAGCAACGGAGAGAAACAACTGCGATCAACCACTCGACAGAAACGGACGAACATCGATCGAGGACTGCCTTACCTGCCGAATGGCTCGGAAGCGATCCCAGAGAAAGGCGTGCACTGTCGCAAGGGACTGCCCCCGGGGATCGTCCAGCAAGCCCAGAAGGTACTCCATTGTCCGCAGGAGCACTGGAACCGGGCGAATGTCCTCGGGGCACTCGGCCGCATTTCTCGAGAACTGGAAGGAAACAAGATCCACAGTGTCTGCTAACCAAAGCGGCATTCAACCTTCACGTTCGAGGTTTTTGAGGGTGGGCGAGGGAGGGGGGGGCCGCCGAAAGTGGGCAGTTTCGAAGATGCTCTGTCGCTTCTGAGAGTCGACAGAGTTGTGGACAAAGGAAGGTTGTGTTTGAGATGGGGCATTCAGATGTGCCAACTCTCAGGGAAAAAGATGGTAAGAACTCCACTGAACGGTGGACAGACTTGTGCCAGGGATTCAACTCCATACATCGCACATGAGAAGTGGCTTCTCCAAAGAGGGCAAAAGAGTAGGTGAAAACAAAGCAGGTTCCGCAACTCAACGTGTTAGTATCAGCAGGACAAACAGATACTACGTGTGACATATCCTGACATAGGAGCAACACTTCGTTCGAACATGTCATGTGCAGTGCTTGTCGCCAGATTGACCAACACAAGGGAGAACCGTGGGGGCATTTCGTGGGCAAAGCGATGTTGTCTAAGGCAATCCTCCGAAGTCCTTCAAATGGAGGGGCTGCAGAGTTTTGGACAGATGTGCCTGGAGGTGTTTCAGAGTCTGGATTCGTTGTCAGAATGTCAAGACAGCCTTCCTGTGGGGTGGGTATGATAAAGCGAAGGCCCAGAAATCCCACTGCGAGGGCTGCAGGGACAGCAGTTTCATAGTACTGCGCACCTTTTTGACGGCTAGGTCCGCAGAGGTCCGCTCCCGGCTTCCATCCACCCTCTCAAAGACCGCCAGGTCCTTAAACCGCTCTCGGTCCCGGCGCTCCTTTTCTATAACATCGAAAAGAAGATGTGCACATCAACAACCGAAGAGGTTCGGCTTTGGCTTGGAGCTTTTCTGTAATGAAAGAAGTACTCAGTTTCGGATGCGCTCCAAGAAGTCAGGTCGCCGACAAACCGTTGGTTTTGTGACTAGGTGCTTCAAAACGTTCTTAAAGTTTGGAGACTGAGATTGGGTGGATTGATCGACAGTGCTTAGAGCGCAGCTCTTGATGCTACCTCTGGGTCACATACTTGTTTATGGTCACTGAGACTGATCCGAGTCTCGAAACATCTCTTGAACCAAACTATGCTTGGCTGAAGTTCACTACGAGCAACCATGCGCCTCTTGTGAGAGGAGCAAACAAAAGGCCTGCTGCAAAGATCCTACGATAGTTCACGGCACGGAAGGTGGTCGCATGGTCGAAACAGATGGGTGAGAAGTTGGTGAGGCTTTCGATCTAGCTGGGAAATTGATTCAAGCATATATTTCTTCAAACCTTGGATATTGCTAACAAAGAATGAATGAAAGATAGAAAGAGAGAAGAGTAACGAAAGCAGCGCAAGCTTGACTTACCTGGGCACATGTCCAGGCACGTTCCCAGAAGGCCCCGTGCAACTTCCTTACCACCCGTCTCCCGCGGGCCCCTTTCTAAGCTCATACCTTGCACTTTTTCCGTAATCTCTCCCACGCTTTCCCTTTGGCCAGTCTGCGGAAGCTGTTGTGGTCGCCTCTGCTGAGTGTCCTGCCTTGATCGAGTTTCAGACCATGTCTGCGGACGCTCCGAGCTGAGTATCCTGTTGCCATATTGTCCGGCAATTTGTTGGCCCCTCAGACCGCGCCCCTGAGCGCCAGTGGTTCCAAAGTGCTCAGCATTGTCACCCGTTCTGTTCCTGGACTGTGAAGAAGGCTGCTGGGAGGCCCGCCAGCTGTCGCGTCCTCCATGCCAGCCGCCATGTCCCCGCTGCCAGCTGTCACTTCCTCCACGCCAGCTGGCGTGCTCTCCCTGCCGGCTGTCATTTCTTGGGCGCCGATCGCCACTTTCTTGGCGCCAGCCATCATTTGATCTGTCTGGGCGACCCCCCGGCCGCCAATTTGCTTCGGGGCCAACATTGCTGCCCTCCATTTAGTGTTCTCATACGCTGACAACTCCGTTCAGCAGCAATTCTCGCGGGACGGTTGCTTTGCACATGCGCACAGCCCAGGCTGGTTGCTTGGGCTCCATCGACATGGGCATTAGCCAATGCACACACAATTGACCATTTAACCTTCAATTTTCACCACATGTCTAGCTGAAGCTGGAAACTACAAGCTCCATGTGAAAGAGCTGAAGGAACAGCTCAAAGGTCTCAGGGCGCTAGAAAAGCCTCCGTTCCACAGGCCAAGCTTTTATCCTAGCTCAAGAACTTTCCAGCAAACCGCCATGCTTTGAAATCTATTCAGACATGAAAACCTTGGCACCAATATATCAGGAATAATCGCAGACCCATAAGCAAAGGGCAGATCAAGAATTACCGCCCTTCAATCACCTAGAACAAGGAGATCCTGACTCCTGAATGTCCAACCGTAATCTGAAGCCGAGTTCCAAAAGTTTTTCTCAGCTCCTGCCTGTATATATTGCCTCATTGCCATTGGTCCAAACCGGGTTATAGATCTCCGCAATTAACCTTTGAAGACCCGTCTGAAGATAACGAAGCTTGAAAAGGTTGAAAATCTTAACTGCGTGTCTCTGCATGAGTCCCACACGAAAAGCGTCCACGAATGGATGAGTTTGTGAATGTAGGCTGCAGCTTTTTGTTCAAAGTTTGGAGACTTCATGCAAGGCCTTCGTTTCATTACACGTCAAACATAAAGAACTACAGTTCTTAATGTAATTTTGAGAACTACGTCATCCACATGTTGAATGCGGGCGCCCGCAGACATGCCCAAAGACTCTTCCATGTATTGATGGTGTACACTAATAATATTCGTGCACAGAACATGAGCTAGTTGCATGATGACGAATATGCAAATTGCACACGCAAAACCAGAGGCAAAACACATTGGGTTTCGACGTCAAAGTTCAATGAACGACTTGAATCCAAAGTTGATTTCGTGATCATTGCTTGTTCCTTGTGAATCGGTTGCACATCGTCTTAGAAGTCGGCAGTCGCATCGATCTAACAATCAACTTTTAGATACAATTGTGCTGATGCGCAGACCACTACAAGAAAATCATGCACTTAGAGGCGCAAGTGAAGGCATCATGCACGTACTTGGCAAAAGCATATGAGCATGAACAATTTTAGTTTTGGCCAAAATCCTGCACAATCAAGTGGACAAAGAATCTGCTTGAACCACTTGCGAGCGTCTTGCACGTGACAACGCAAAATGGACGCATCATGCATTGATAGGTCATTTTGAGACTGGAAGGTAGTTGGACAATGCCGCCCTGCACAACAACACCATCAACAGATCGAAAGCATCATGCAATAACGGAGGTGGTTCAATGTCCTAGCATGCGCATCATGCAAATGTGAAGCGTTATGCGAACGCCCATACTTGCGGCAACAACGATTCAAGGCTGAACAACCTAAAAGCCTACAGCATGAGATCAGGAGACCACGAAACAACATCCTTGGACAGGTACATCGAAACTCAATTTAGAGAAGCCCCTCTTGTCTTCTCTAAGCTAGCTCACAAAGTCAATCCTCTGTCAAGATTTTCATGGTCCAGCAGCCCCTGGATACCCCGTCCCAACTTCACCATAAGGTTAAACCATTGTGGAACACATATGTTGAATTGTCGAGTTTGTATGTACAACCTATTGAATCATCATGATCAAGCTTTCATGCTTATATGAATCCAAGTTTTATGAGGCCAGCGATTTGCCAGGATTCTTGGAACCTATGCTCACTACTTAAGCTCTCACTTTACTAATGCCCTCGCTTTCCTTGCAAAGTTACCCCCACCGAGTAAGCAAGCAGCCCCGAACTTAGAAGCCAGCCGATCCTTGTCCATTGGAGCTGCTCTGACTGCAAAGTTTTTAAGTCTTCTAGCTTGTCCACTATCAAAGCCAAGACCCGGGCCTGGACAAAGGTAAAGTGGTTTCTTCCAGAATCTGCTTTCCCATTGCATCACAATTTGTGATCTCCGTTCGTTAATCCACGGAAACACTTTTAGGAACTAGCAGAAACAGCAAAGGAACCTTCTCAAAGAAATGCAATTGCAGTTTGCAGAATGTAATTGAGGTGCCTGATTGTGACAATTCTCTGAATGTTCAGTCTGACGCATGTATAATACAACCAATTTGTGTACGTACGTTGTTCTTGGTAATTTTGTATGAAGGGCAATGCAAGTTCAGGTGGTAAAAAAGATTCAGAGCTGGTGGCATTCAACCAAAGAAAGTGTGATGATACGGCAGTACATTGGAAAGTTGGCAGCATTCCCTGCAAAAATGGACCTAAAGAGGCGCGTGAGCAAGTTGTGAGAGAATCAACACTAACCTGATCTATGTTATCCGGCGCCACTGCATCCCCTACTACTTGCCCCTGACTCTGCAAACTTTTGGTCCCAGACCCTTCCGAAAGAGAACGTTCAGTTTTTGTCTTTGGTTTCCTTGTGATTGTGAACCAGCCAGTAGCCCTGTCTCCAACGATCTTCAGCTCGTTTGTGGCATCATTCAACGTCTTCAGCGCCAGAACGATGGCAGTGGCAAGAGATATTAGGCCCACGCCTCTGACTACCTGCTCAGTGGTGACCATGGTCGAACCTCTTGACTCTACTCAAACCAATGCATGCAAAACCTTTCAATACTCTGTCACGACTTGTTGCATGCTCAGGCCCCGCTCAGGTACCTTTCAACCAACTGGTCTGTAGCAGATTGCCTGGCTTCCTGCCTTGAAACAAATCAACGCCTCACTTTGCTCAAACCTGATGGACAGAAAGCAATGACCCTGCAACAAGGAGTGCCTTCACAAGCGAGAAACAACGAACTCTCTATTCTCTCCATGGCTACAATTTACCGTACTTGTCCTCCAGACTCCAAATGTGCGCAACTTTCTTCCCCCTTTCAGTTCAATCAGAACAAGTCACTTTCTTCCCTTCTTGACTCCCTGTTCAAAGTTCGAACCTGCTCGGGATCAACATTGTTCGCCACCCTTCGATAAGTGCTGCAAAGTTTCGACGGTCCAGGTAGTCACAGGTGGCACCAGAAGCCAAACATCGTACGGCAGCGGAAGCACTTTCACATCGGACGGCTTATGTCTCCTCTCCTTTTCACCGCCAGCTAGCTTTAGACCGACTGCTCAAATGCAGCATCTGAAGCCAGCTGAAGCCGCCTGCTCTGCTGCTGCCACTCAGACTCAAACGTTGCATCCTTCCTGGACCTTCAGAGTCAAACGTTGCATCCTTCCTGGACCTTAGGTTTAGTAACCTAGCAAGCCTGGAAGGCTGAAGAAAGCGGTTTGCGTTCTGAAAATCATAATCTTTGGTTGCTGATCAACTATCACGATGACCTCGGCAGTCTGTGCGCGCCTCACGGGGGCGGCGCATGTTCCTGGGGCAACGTGCAGCCCCCGCTGCGCCCAGAAGCTCGACATGCCGACCTGCACTACATTTGCAGTACCTGAATTGCACAAAATGTGTGCAAAGAGAAACTTGGGAGGATACAGACAGACGAATGTGGAGGCACTTGCTTTGTCCCTCTCCCGCACCTCGTTTCTGGGGGCGGGCAGCCATGGGCTGTTGAGTCTCCTGACGTGTAAGGAAAGGGCGGGTAGCGCCAAGTTTCAGGTAGTAGCTATCAAGAGGGGTGGAGGACCTCGGAGGAGGACAAGGGAAGCAAACCCCATGGAGCAAGCGAGCAAGGGCCCCAAGATGAATGAGGCAGTGTTGTAAGTACCTGAGGGATACACTTTTTAGTAGATGGGCTTCGAGACTGGGACACCACAATCCAATGTGGTGGAACTATTATGGGGTTTGAGGGTTGGGTGCTGGTTCTGGCGGCATTTCGCACATCCCATAAGAAATGTGCATTGAGTGCCAGAGCTACAGGGATAGAGTATGAGGCTTTGAGCGGGGTGCTGCATGCTGCTGTTAGTAATGTTCATTGTAGATTGCGAGAGCTTGCTGTTGGTAATGGTCGTGTCGCACAAGCACAACTAAGTACAGTATTTCACCGTACTTTTAAAAAGCAGGATTTAAAGATGTCATTCGGTTCGAGAATGTAGATAGTATGCTCAGGCAGCATCAGCATTGTGCTTGTGAAAGTCGATGGTTCTAAATTGACAAGCCCGGCGATCGAGTGTCTCACCTTCCATGCACCATGCTAAAGGAAATATTTTCCGATGGTCTTGGTGGTTATGGCCTGTATGTTTCAGCTGATCCGCCTTCTAAATTAGGGTTTTTGCCGTCCGAAAAATGGCTACTGACACTTTCCTCTTCTCGTCCAATCAGGGCATATCCAAATATTCGGTTGCTGGACCAGGATCAGAAGATGGTGAGTTACAGAGACTCCCAATTCTGCTTCACTATGAGCCCCAAACGACTCCTGACAGAGAATCCCATACTTGGTGATTTTTGCTTTGCCACTACTTCGTGCACACAGTAGAAGGATCGTTGTCAGGATTTGAGAGGATATTGGGGAGCAAGCGTCCTACTGAGGATTTCAGCGTGCGTCCTGGCGGCAGCAAGCTGAGATGCAAAGTTTTGAAGCTGGCGATCTATGTCCAGAATTCTAGGTGGCTAGCTTTGTCTACCTGTTCTTGAGTGAATCAGAGGCGTCTTGGGGAAGCTTTGTGGCACGCTCATGCATGCATGCAACCTTGTTGTACCCTGGGAACAATCGTTCATTCAAGGGCTGAAGCCAAAAGATTCTTTCGCAGTCGAAAAGGACCTCGAAATCATTGGAGTTCGGACGATGCCTTTTAGCGACAATTGTGTTCATTGACTGAAACGGAAGTCCTTCCGAGCAGATTGGGATCGTGGCGTCCTCCGATGCACTGCTCGCGGCAAGGAACAAGGAGCTCGACCTGGTGAGAGGCCCACATTTGTTAGACTCCTGTATTTCTTTCTCGTGTCCTTGATAAGGCTCGGTCGTCAGGCGTTGCTCTCTGACATCTGGGGGTCGCCATCATCTACTTATCATCATACAAGACCAGGTTTGTATTGACCGGGATGCAGCGATTCTGGGTACCTAGTGCGCTGTGTACGTGCGTGTACGCTCTTTCTCGTGCTTTTACTGTCAGCTTTTGACAGCTCTCGTGAACTTGGGATTGACTGACAGGTTAGAGGTAACAACCGGCATTTGTCAATCGGGTCATCAACCTGTGGTCAAAAGTAGTCTTGAAATGACCTGGGGAGTCCTTCCATCGGCTTTGGGCGTTCGGTTTTGTAATCTGCATGTTGCTCAAGTTGTCTCGCTCCCGCAGGTCCTCATCGCGGGCGATGCCGATCCTCCAGTTTGTCGAATCATGGACTACACGTAAGCTTACCTTGCTGTGCTTTTGGGTTCCCAAGTTATAGTGCCGGTATCTCTCTGATCTTTTGTAGATGTGAAGAGACGTATAAGATTCGATTCCACCCTGAGCCTAATACAAACCTGGTCGGAGCTCAAATGGTGACAACCGCTCTGGTGCAGCCCTGTTCAATTGCTTTTGGACTTCGAAATACTTCAAGGGGGGGCCCACACGCATTTATATTGATTGTTCGTCGAACCCTGTGCAGGAAGTACAAGTACGAAAAGGACAAGAAGGCACGGGACACGCTGAAACGATCAAAAGGTACGTCCATAGGTGGCAGTATAGTGGGCCTTGATTGCTACGGCTTTCTCCATATGTTCGTTGTTAGCCTTGACAGCTTTGGAAACACACACGCATCCAGTGATTGAGCAAGTGGTGTTCGCTCGCACGATGAAGCTGTGTCCCATTGCAAGAAGCAGTGACCGTAGTGCTGGTCTGCACAAAAGCAGGTTTTACTGTGCTTGATTTGTGGATTGAATACATGAATCAGGACGGCAGTTGTTTCGGAGTTCGGTTACAACGCGCTTCTACTTCTATTATATTGTCTAGCTGCTTGTAGACAAGATCCTCTAGGTCCTCTGACAGCCAACTTTCTTTTCTCTGCAGCAAACCGGGTGGATCAGAAAGAGTTGAAAATGCGGTAAGCTTTCGTTCTGGGCTGCTGGTTGTGTTTCCTTTCATTCTTATGGCTGGGTATGCGAATGGTACTACGCTTTGTCATTCGACTTTCGGAGCAGAGGACTCGTATGGGCTTGTTCCTGGACGGGGGCGAAGTACGACAAGCGCAGAGTATGGTAATAACAAGATTGTTGAACGATTACCGAGAGAAGCAAATGCAGAAGAGTTCCGGGAAAAGCTAAGCAGGAACAGGAGAAGCAAACGGGAGAAGCAGAAACGGGAGAAGCATATACAGAAAGAGTACTTGATTTGTGGTCTACAACGCGCCCAGAGTGCAGCTGCAACGATCGGTCGATGAAGAGGGATTTTCATCCGTACCGATGATCTTGTTTTGATGCTGCAGGTACAACACGGATGTCGGCGATTACAACACGACGCTACGGAAGTGCATGCGATTTCTGAGAGCCGGAGACAAGGTGAGTTGTCCTTTTATGTTCACCATTTGCCAACGCATCGTCTGAACGAATGGCTTGATTTGGTTCGGGGTCAGGGACTTATGGGAAGCACAGTTCCGGGACCTGTTGCACTCTGCGTCCGACAGTACCGATATTAAGGGTCCAAAAGTTCCAAGTTCGATTTTGTTGAATGCGTTTTTGGTTGTGACGAACAATACGTTTTGCGCTGCTGTCAATGAAAGCGGCCAGGAATTGAAGACCAACCGATGGCCAGTCAGGAGCTTGGGTTTGGTTTCTGAAACTTCCGAGAAGTGCAGCTTCTATGGTTGATCCTAAGGTGCTTCGAAGCCTGCCCGTTTTGCACTTGAAGCCTCCGTTCTTCAAAGGCTGCTTGAGCTTTCCTCGTTTGTTCGTGCATGCCAGCTGGTTATGTTTCATCGACGTTTTGTGAGTAGGGTCTTCATGCGGAAGCATCGAGACTCCGTTTCTTCCAGCTCTTTGTGCAGCGGTTCTACAATACTGATGTGTTGTCTCAGAACTAATAATTTTCCCAAGAGCGCTTGTTCCCACCTTACTTTGCTACAGCGAATCAGCCTGCGTACCTATCTCGTTCTGTGAGAGCCTGTAGCCGATCAAGGGACTTCTTTCTAAGTGCTCTTCAGACCAGAGCAGTCTGTGTTACTTTTTGTCTTCATTTCCATTCTCGTTTCGTGGGTGGCGTGGGGATCGAAGTGAGGCTCGTGATTTGCGTCGTTGTGGCTGGTCGGGCCACATATCTCCGGACAAGAGAAGGCCGTACCCTTGATCTCCATAAGCAGGCTTTGAGCTGAGAGTTGAAGGTGCTCCCTTTACATCGTGCGATGCTGGATGCGCGAGCCTGCACTTTTCGGCATTTGCGAGTGCATTACTGTACCAATCTGGCAGGGCTGTGTTGTGCTCGCTTGCTGCGGTCGCTCTAGGCCATACGCGATCAGTGGCGGTCTGTAAGCCTTGATCGGTCTTTGGAGCCACCGTTTCTAAGCTTCGAAGCAGATGCCGTGCAAAGGCCTGGGACTAGAAGCTCAGGGCATGCGAATTGTGCGACTTGCCTTTTCGACAGTCCAGAGTACCCGTTCGAAAGTCGACTGCTTGCAGCAAGATAGTGACAAGATTCTTGACGGATTTCAAGCAGCTATGCCACCTCACCGTTGGTAGGCCGGGTCTGTTTTTGCCCGGCCTAAGATGGCCTGGAAAAGCTCATCAGAGTGTCCGCCATGCTTTGCCTCTCCGGGCAACGTCCGCTTTGGATAACGTAGACGGAATGCGGGGTGTAAGAAACTTTCCACGTCTTGTACTGAGCATCAAGCAGTCGTGGAGCCTGTGATTAGCCCGATATAGCGGTATATGATCTTTTCTGTCAGCGTATGACGGCCCGTTCAGACGAGATACTGGAAAATGTACTCTCGGCATAATGGAGCCGTTGGCATGGTCTCGGCGCTCCAGATCATCGCCCCAAAGTAAATTTATGCGCGGCCATACAGTTTTTAACGCATTGGCTCCGGTGGACAACCGGGGGGTTCTTGAGTTCGTTGCTGAGTCCCTTCAATTGCCTGTGACGAGAGCGGTCATGGCCATGTCTGCTCACCGTTGCGGCCTTCGTGAGTGCTCTGAGGCCCAGGACGATGATTCTCTATGAAGCCGTTTGCTTTTGCCCGCGACTGAGAGGTGCGCTCAGATTTTCCTTTGAGAAATAAGGAGCGGAAGTCTATGACGGACGAAGCTGTGGCCATTTTGGCCAACGGCCATGATCCCGTGGAGGCCTCTATTTGTAGACTCGAAGTTGACGTTTTTTGTGAGATGGAGACCATGCCGACCTTGGCACAAGCAAGTAAGCGGAGGTTTGCCCGATTCGGAGCCTCTGCTGTGGCATCCACTGGCAAATATGGATTTTGGCCTTTCTGGTGTTCGATGCAGTTCTCTCAAAGACCGTTTTTATCAGCCCCTAAGTCGTTGATGACCCTTGTGGGCGTTTAGGGGGTATAGCTCTTCCCAAGGTTTGACCCTGGTGGATCGCGCAGAGAGTTGTTGCTGTATTCGTCTCCTTTTGGCATGGCTGATCCAGGCCACGTGGTCGTTGATGGTGTGTCAGCCGCTTAGCAGCGCTCTGAAGCCCGCTTCCACGCATGCACTTGAAAGATACTAAACAAAGCACCGTGAGCAGGCAGGAAGTCCCTCTCCTGTCGCGGTCACCTTCAGACGGGGATGTCGAAGTAAAGCTGGAGGTGCATCTTATGTTTTTAAGGACTATAAATCTGCCTGGTCGATTACAATCGTTCCCTACGACGAGCACAATATTGTGGTATCGTCAAAACCACTGTTACACTGTAGCGAAGGCCTAAAGTTGGCAAGAAACGGATCGCTTTACTAAGTTCAAAAAGGGTTTTTGGGCCCAGAGGAAGGCAAGCGGAAAAGTTGCGATTGAGTTGCTAGGAGCGTCAAGCGTTACTAGCTCCAGGAACGAGTTACTTAATGACAGTTGGCAAAACGTTACGTGACGCCTATGATGGACACTTTCCTGATCCTACGAGATCATTCCTTTTTCAGTCGATGGCGTTGATTCGTCCTTACAGCTTGAAAGTGTAAGGCGCCTTTATTGTTGGTTTCAGGCATATCATGTACGCACAAGTCAGAACTTACGCCTATGACTGGCAAACGAGCGACAAATGTGGTCACTAGTTAGCCTTGCATTCGGAGGGCCTCTTTGGAGGAACAAGTTCCGTCTCAACTGACCAATAGTCCAGTCGTCTGTAGAAGACTCCCAGTCAGCGCTGTGCGGTCTGATTTTGGTGTCCTTCGCTTTTGGAATTCAAATCGGTTATCACCTGAAAGCAAGTGAGCTGCCCGTACAGCAACTTAAAGCAAGGAGGGAGAGTTGTATGTTTCTCGAACGGTTGCCCCTAGGCCAGGTGTGCACTGTAAGGTCTGTTACAACGGTCTCTGTGGGAAGAACCACCGGTGCGGGCTTGTTCATTCGACATTGTGCCCGTCTATCCTTATTGTTGAGTGCACTTGTCCCTTCTGGTCTAATTGAGTGCTCATGTTGCTCAGCATCATGTCAAGTAGGTTTTTGCCGAGCATTATGTCAGACAACTCTTTGGAGGCCATTGCTGGATGTGTGGTCTTCAATTTGTAAAGACGAAAAGCAAGTCTTATTGCGTAATGCCTGTGATGAGCAACAGAACTGGCCTTCGTTGGTCAATTGGTATCCAGCATTGCTCTGAAGGCTTTTGTAACAGATGCGGCTGTTCATTAGGATTAGGAAACTTAGAAATGTAGGTCGGATGGTTCAGCATCTTTCAATGCAGGCGGTTTCGCCACTCTTTGGCGTTTCTTTCTGCAGGAGCCTTTGTGTGCTCGACAGTCCTGGAAAACTTCTCTACTTGGGCTGACCGTCGAGTCACTTTGCATGCGTTAGGGCTGTTCATTCTCGTTTTGGCCCATGTGTTCTGCCTTATCGCCTGGATTGCGCCATTGGGATGGAGCAGGAAGCTTTGCAAGCGTATGCAGGTCAAGGCCAAGCTATTTTCTGTCCGATCGTCAAGCATGCCCTTTGTATGGTTACTTCATTTTAGACACGGGTCTCTACCAAGAAAAGTAAGGGGCTCGTCGTGTCAAGTCGACAGGACGACAGTAGTTTTGACCCGTAATATTTCTTGTTTGCAGGTTAAGTTTTCAATGAACTTCAAGGCTCGGGAAATGGGCTTCCAAAAACAGGGAATCACGTTGTTCGAAAAGGTGCAAGCGGAAATAGGAGAGGTGAGCTTCAGTCCGAGCCACTGCTTACGTGTTGGCACACCCTCTGGTAAAACTTTTGCCCACCCATTGAACGAGCTCTCCTCGTCAGCCCGACCCATCGGGATCGGTCGAGCGGCGCTCCCTTGAAAGGTTGCAGCGTTCACGTGCCGATCGGGCGGTAACGGAGGAGCATTTGCGACTTGCACTAAGCCACGAAACGTTCGTTGTTGCCATGTTTCCGGCGACCAGGAAGCAAGTTCAGGGCCCATAAGTCGTCACTCACTCGGATGCAATTGCCCATGCCGTCGTTACTGTTGCCGCTCACTCACTCATACGAGCTCACAGAAGTCATTGTCGTTCCAGTGACGTTCTTATTCCAAGGTCCTGCGTCCGTCGTTTGTTGCAAAACCGATTGTTGTCGATTGTCGTGCGTCTCAAGCCGTTGGAGCGACCTTTCTGGAAACGTCGTTATAGGGGTTGCTGTCAGCTCCCAACAAGAGAGCCAGAATCCCGCTGAAAGTGCTCTGCTAAATCAGTCGAGGCCTCAACACTTTCCAACGACAAGCCATGTTCATCAGTCAACTTGTTGTTTGGAACTATATCGCTACGTTTTTAGATTCGACATGCGTATTTTTACACGTGGGAGAAGACTGTTTTTACGTGGGAGAAGACTGGTTACCGTTAAGAGTTTGGTTTAAGGTTCGTTTCTCTTTTCGGGTGCTTGGTTTTGGGGTACACATCCTCGATTTCCTCTTTGCAGTGGGGCGTTACGGAGGGGCGGATCACAGTCGAGGGCCGGAACATCCTCCTTATGATAGGGCCCAACAAGCCGTACATAGAAAGAATGAAACGGGAAGCAGCAAAGGCAGGGAAGGTCGTCGAGGAGGAGGAGTCGGATGACGAGGAGGAAGAGCAGGAGTCGGAAGAGGTCGATAGCGATGATGACGACGAGGATGACGTCAGCGGGGAGGTTGACGTCAGCGGGGAGGTTGACGTCAGCGAGGGGGAAGGTGCTTCGAACGGGGCAGCAGTGCAGTCACAAAGTACACCGGCCGCTGTACAAGAACGCATTTGACCGGTTGCTCTTTTTTGTTTACCAACATTACCTCCGAGTGCTGCAGCCGCTGTTCGGTGTGTGTTGAATTATGTCCAATGGCTGCGACTACTCTCGTGTTGCATCTTTGAATGGATCAGTACTCATTGAGGCCGCCGTGCTCCGGCACAACCCGGAGGCGCGTGTGTCCACCGGAATCATGATCTTGTTATCGAGATCCGCCCTTGGGGTTGGGGTTCCGAGTTTTCAGTGCAACCAAGGCCAAATGAGCATTCACACACACGCATGTCGTCCAACTCAGAAGATTTTTCGGGGCGTCTTCCGAACCGATATATAAAAAAGCCCGCCCTGCACGCGATCATTCATCAATCTCTACCAAGGAAGTTTCGCCACGTCTTGACGGCCTCTCTTCAGTTCTCTATTCGGAGGTCCCCGTGGGCCATGCCTTTGGGCTGCGCGAAAGCACATGTACAAAGCCCAGATTTGCTAGCTACAATCTCGCGTGTCTTCCGTCGACACGACAGGATTGTCTTCGACTTCTTTCTCTTTCGTTGTGTGCCTGCACAAGGTGGCTGGGGTTTTTTACGCACACCCGGCGTGATTGTGCCGTCGCCCATTTAAGTAATTGAATCTATCACTCGCTCTTCATAACATAATCGATTTACTGCCGGGTCAAAATAGTAGGAGGTGGTTTTGGAACTTTCTTTTGTACTCCTATACGTGATTTCAAGCAAGCACGGTCAAAGTCCGAATGCCCAGGTCGCTCCAGGATCCGGCCGACTTTCACTGCCCCGCAGTGCAATGGGCGGTCGCTACGAAGCGGCTACTCATTCTGTGCCCCGGTATCCGTAGCCCGAGCTTCTGTAAGACTGGATCATCCTCGCTTGGCGTCTTGATCGGACGTAGCTTTTCCCAATTGATCGTTGCTTGAGAGCCATGATGGACGCTGACAGCTCACGCGAAAGCACCAGCGCCGCATGTGACTTGCTTCTCGTACGCGCAGGCCAAGCCGACTGTTGATCAAGCGAGACGGGTTTCGAAATACTTTGTACGGCAGACGCTATATCCACGTTTGCCGCATTTGGGATCCTCATGGGTTTCTGGGCGTCGACTATGATTGTGCGCCAAGAGACGCGTAGTGTGGTGAACTCGCGAACCGCGACGTACCATCCTTCGCGACGGGAAGATGGAAAACAACCGGGCTGGACTTCTTGCTTCCAGACAAAGCCTGCTAGTCCTGCATCAGATCGACTTTATCACGGCATCATGAGGAGGCCGAAATTTCAGGGGAGCATCGCCAATGACGACACCTCTCTCGGCCGCGTTTGGCCAAGCTGCTCTTACGCCTTCGAGGCCTCGTTCTCAGAACTAGGTCACGGCTCCAAATGGACCGTGGGTTTGAGACGAACCCCCAAAAGCTATTGAAATTGCTTCGCGGCCTTTGCTATGGTTTTACGAGATTTGTGGATCTACAACTCGCTCGCCATAAACTCGCTCGCTGTAAACCCACTTTGTGGAGGAATCTAAAATGGATGATGATGTCTTTCTTGCTTCTATCAAAACTCAAGAGGTCTGAGCGGTTCGTCTGAGCGGGACCCTGAACCTGCTATGTTTTCCAGGAGATCTGCCTATGTCGTTTTGTGTACGGACACGCGTGCAGATGCTGCACGAGGAAAATGAGTCCACGTGGACGGCTGTAATGCGCTTGCGCTGCGGTCCCTCGTGGTCATAGCAGTCAATCGAGACTCGTGGCTAGTTATCGCTGGACGCCGCCGCCGGCCCCTAGCTCAGATTGCTGCGTGCCTCGATAGTACTAACATGAAAGCTGATCTCATGCGGTCCTTCGAGAAGGTTGTGGCTTATGTTTCAACTTTCTACCACGCGAACATGGAAGTACGTACATACCTTGTACACGCTTTTTGCTGGAGCAGGAGTGTAGAATCGGGTACTTTGACCGATCTTCGAAGCCCCACTAGTATCTGGTCGACGCAACCCATTTCTTCAATCAATCCTAGTACAACACGGTCGAGAATCTGGGTGGACAACATTTGTTTCCACCTGGAACGAGCCCAATCGGCGCTTACTTGCCAGTTGATGACCTTTGTTCGGTGTGTCTTTAAATGGATGATTCTTGTGCAAGATCGGGGGCGCTTTTGAATCGGACTGGAGTTACTGATATCAGGTCAAATAGAAAATGCACATATGACGTCAGATGTTGCGTACACGATACATGTGCCCAGGACGATTTAAAGAAGGCGTAAGTGGCAAAATAAAGTCATCTACTGCCTGCAACACTGAAGGCCCGGAAGTAGCTAGAGACAAGGACATGACTGGAAACTAAAGGACCGTCTTTGATGCTGCGGTCTCTGCCCGCGTCCAAACGAACTCTGTTTCTCGAACGGCGGATCGAGGCTCTTTATAAGCAGTCGTACACCTGAATATTATGGATTAAGCCTCTGATCTGTGGGAAATGGTAATCAGCCTTGGCCATGCCACCGTTTTTCTGAATCAAGCGTGATGGGTTTTATTAAGGAGCTAGCTCAGCCGGACTGAAAATTGGGCTGCCCTCTTCCTCCATTTGCAGCGGACCAATAAATCAAATGCGCACCTCCCACTTTCGATGGTCTACGAGTTCCTGTCTGGATTTGAGTCACCTAAGTAATCAGAGCGATATAAAAGCGAGTTTGTGCCCGTATTTAAACGCGGTCTCTGGATCTGGATGTGAAGCTCCGTAATCGTACTGACCTTCAAATTCTGTCTTGAAGAGTCGCGAAGGACTCGTGTTATAGAAGGCAAAAGCGTGTGGCAGCAGGCCACCGCACTACCCTTCCATAACATTGTTCGGTGCATCCGTCCCAGCAGTGTCCGTAATCACTGATGTTCCACAATTTTGCAATCTATTGCTCAAGCACGTACAGTTGACAGTAGCAACGGCATCGTACGTTCTTTTGCGTTTTCATTGCTTTCTCTGCTTCGATTCTCCCAGGAGGCGTGCTGTCCAACCGCATCATGCGGGCGTAAACATCGCTCTAACATAAGATTGGGTCTTTAACTCGACTGGAGTTTAAGTTGGTGTTCGGAAAGCACTTTTGGGGATTTGGCAGATTCGTCGGACTTGGCCAAGCCGAAGACGATACAAGAGTTGGCCCTTCCCAACGGGCTGTGACCGGGCCTTGCTGACCCCAGAGAGAACTGTCCGTTTTTTGAAGAAGGCCTCTTTTTCGATTCAAGGACCTTTCTCTGAGAAACAGTTTTGTTCAAAACTTCTGATACTGAGGTTTTTGTCAGTGGACGAAGTCGTTCATATCCAGCGGTCTCCAACAGAAAGACTGCAAGACTAACTCGCAAACTACTGCAAAGACTCGCTCAGTACAACTGATAGTCTTCTGCTTTTGGACTGCATGTTCCTTCGAATTCCTATCGTTCGCCATAAACTCTCAAAAGCAAGTTCAGCAGAGGCATAATCTGATGCGCGCTTTCTGTTTCACAGACCCCGATAAAGGGTGCCACCGAGCAATCGCAGGTATGATCAGCGGTCATGTCGGTCGGACAGGGCTGGAAAAGTTGCCAACTATGATTTTCTCCTCGAGCGGATATATCAAAAAAAATTAGTCGCTTCCTTGACATCATCACCATTGTCAGGATTAGCATAAATCGTCGGAGAAGCAGAGGCCTATGATGTGTTCGACCAATGGCCACATCTGGTGGCCATATTGTTGAGCAAAGCCCGAAGGCTTGAAACTTGGTCGAAGTAGCTCCTAAAGCGTTTAATGAGCTGCGCTCCAGGCAAAAGAAGATTGTGTGCCAACCTCTCTGTGTCTCGCTGCCCATGATGAGCACGACTGTGGCCACGCTTGGAGGTCATGTCCAAGTCGCCAATCAAGTTCTCCGGATTTCTGGTCGCAGTAGCTCCTAGAACGTTTATGTTGTGCTTTAAGCAAAAGCGAAGTGCCGACATCTGTCAACCATTCCCGCCGCCCAGTTGGTCCCTTCGATGCGTATCGCCGTGGTCCCTTAACTGAGGCAGAATCGAGAAGAGAACTAGGTATTGCTGCCCCGATGTGTTGTGCGCCTGTGAACCCGGACATTAGAAGTGGCGGTTGATGCCATTTGCAGCAAGACTTCTCTCTGACGGCTCGCTTCCTTAGCTTTGCAATGTTACGTCTCCGGTCCCGCGGGTTGAAGTCCGCAAACAATTCAGTTAAAATGGGCTGTTTCTAAATCGCTGTTACACGTTTGAAACTTGAAGCGGCCAGTAATTGAGCGCTAGTACCAAGGTTCATCAACACATGACCACACATAAAGGATTCGAATACAAGAATCATACTCTGGCATCGCTTCGACATCCCTTTGCCCAATCGCCTAAGTAGCTAGTTGAACTAGCTTGCTTAACAGTTGAGTAGGAGCTACATGGAAACTCTGAGAAATTGGATTCGGTTGGTTAAGAATTGGGGTTGGGGGAGTTTGGGGAGAAAGAAAACGGATGCCCGTGACGAATCGCTCTTTATCTTGGCCACCAGGCCATAAAGATGATTGGCAGGATCGGAAGGCTGTCCGTGGAAGTCTTCATGAATGCTGGTCGATCGCATGCAATTATTTCTTCCACACCGCATCTCAGAAATGACCTCATGGCCCTCTATGACGTCGATAGTTCTGGCACTCGTTTCACTGAACACTTCTATTGGAGGAGTTCAATCGTCTTAGGTGCTCATCTTGTTTGGCTTCGATCCTTTCACGAGGTCTCTGAGTATCTTTTGCGCAGTATAAGTTTATAAGCATTATACTAGCTTAGGCATAGCAGTCCAGGAAGTTAATCATTAGATTTTGCAGTGTTTGGTTCTCAACCCTCGCTCTCGAAGTGCCATTCAGCAACGAAGTCCGTGATAAGCGAGAGGTTCTCGTGCGTATGATGCGCATCAGGGTGTCCGTTCCACAGTCTTCCCAGAACACTCCGGCTTGCTAAGCTTTGCACTTGTTCATATTACAATCTGCAAAATGCGAAGCGTTTAGGCGAATGAAAAGATCGATCAAGTCTAGCATGAGGGATCAGAGAGGTCTATATATAAGCAGAAATTTTGGATCGGCATCGCATTCTGCGAATCGCGCTTACTGCCTTCAGCGATAAGATTCCTGTTGAGCAGAACCTCAGATGTCTGAAAGTCGACATTCAACTGATCGTATATTGGAAGGTGCAGCTATCTCCAACAGTTCTTCGATAACATCGCAAACGCCTACTCTCCATGCCAATGACTATATGGATTGAGTTGGCTTTCCCTGGCCAAGAAAATGTAGCATGAAGTGACGTCTTACCACCTTCAAAAGATCCTCGCACGAGGCCCTATTGAAGAACCTCTAAGGCGGGACCGAGCGCCTCGGCTTTGGGCGATTAACATCCACTTTCTCTACACCGTAACGAAACCCCATAGGCATTATCAGTCATTCTCAAGAGGACGTATCAGCCAAAGGATTGAAGGCCTTGTGCTGTGGCGCGCGCGGTAGCGCTTCCTAACGTGACCCGCGGACCCTGTTCTGATTCCCACAAAAATCCGACCAACGGAACATCATCAGCGAAGGCGGGGGTTATGATCAGCGCGGGTTGTTTGGATTCCAGGAAAGTACTCACTTCTTGAAAAATTTGTATGCAGGAGCAGCACTTCTCTAGGATCCTGAAACTGGCTAAGCATAGGATCGAAAGAAAGCCGACAAAAACTGTTAACTGCACGCTTCGCCATGCTATATTTAAAAGCACTCCATTTTTGCTAATTGATCACTGGAGGCATGCATATTCACTTGGGTTCTAGGGCGGCCTTGCTTGGGTTCATACACAGAACAGGAATCATGGCTTGTTGTGGAGCAGAAGTGTATTGGGTGCCGCGACCATCTATGAAGACGAAGTCCTTGCACTGACGGCCAGCACTTTCTGGGACGGTAGGCTTTGAGATGATGTCTCGTATCAGAGACAAGTGAACATCTCCTTCGTACTTTTGATATCTTTCGGGTCAATGACGAACGCGAATGGAGCTTGACTGCTGGAGCCAAGCAATCTAATCTAGTTCCGATGGCAACAGGTTTTAAGGTGACATAACCGGTCGGCTTCGTGCTGTGACAGGGGCTTAGATGATCTTGCCGTTGGGCAAATATATAACGGCTCACTTTTCAAATATGCTACCAAACTCCGCCTTGGAACGTCGAATTCGGAACCGCTTTTCAACTGACAAACACTGGTTTGCACGGCAATGGCAACTTCAGTTGCCGTGCATAGGACCGTTTTGCGGACCAATTTGTCTTTGGAGAACTTTTTTGGAATCTTCCAAGGATTCGAACGCGCTCTCTGGTAGTCCTCCTCAAAGTGGCTGCTGCGCTCGAGTCGGGCTGTACTTCACACAGCATCCTCTTCTGAGAAAAGCTCAGGAAGCCGAGATGTTCTGCTAACTGAAGCTGAGTATCGAATTCTCTACATTTGAGTAAAATCAACTAAAGCTTTAAAAATGGCCGCTGCGTTGTCGCCGTGCAGTTAACATCATGGGCTCACCTCGCACGCGTTCAAGCGCGTAACGTCTGCACTGCATGCACCGCCTTCGCGGCTGCCAGCAATCTTTGGGGTCAAAATTTCGATCAACCGTCTTGGAATAGTCGGCTCATCCCTCTACTTCACTGTCCATAAACGTTGCTGCTTACGTGCTTCCGTGATGCTCGCAGAATTGGCCATGTGTAGTCACATAAAGATCTGCG